ATAACAATAAAATAAATAAATTATTTACATACACACACACATGCATACATATATATATATATATATATATATATATATATATAGTAAAATGTATATAAATCTCACTTTGTGCAACTAAGAAACAACATGAGCCTATCATTGATCAAATCTAGCGGCTATCATATTACTATATTGTAGATGACATAAACACCACTTTAAAAACACACGCAAATAACCTGAAGATAAACTACGTTGCCGACATTCTCCATAAAATCACACAAATGCAACAAAGATGACCACATTTTGCAGATTACAAAATATGTCCAACTTTATTAGTGGCTAATGAAAAGACTTTTATTTTCATTTGTGCAGAGTTGCAGTGGCCCTCGCGCGACTGTCCACTCTAACGTTACACCTAATAATCGTTACAGAAGGCCACAATCGTGTCAGAACACGGCCAAATGACCTCCAAATCACAAGAAGTGTCAAAACATACACGACAAACGCGTTTGTCCTGCAGAAAGCGAAACGCTAACGCCACTAGCGTAACTAGCGTTGAGGCCGCGCTACTAAAACCCTGAGGAGAATAATCCAGAGAGAACGGGAATTAGAAACAGAAACTTACGCTTATGTGGGTCTAGATGTGCGGTTGGAGAGGACAGCGACTCGGGGACAGTCGGTTAGCTTGAGGGTTTTCTCCGTTAGAGGGGTTTTGTCCACTGTTTCTTTCTGCAACCGTTTGTTTCTGTCGGTACGCGTCTCTGGGGCGCGGCGCTCTGGAGCCGCTGAGGCGAAGAGCCTTCTGATTGGTCCGCGTCACACAAAGTCCCGCCCACTTCGCAAAACAGAGCCTTTGATGTGAGGCGCCCACAGCAGTGATGGGCGGGGCCTGTACGTGCGCTTAAAAACAGCGAGCTCGGCGTGCGTAATCTGTTGTTTTCAGAGACTGTTGGGTGGAGTAAATATGTTTTTCAGTAAATTAGTATTTTTAAAAGCTTAAAATTTTTAGTTCGAATTGTTTAAACCTGTATATTCTAATACATACATATATATATAGTTATGTAATAATTAAAATAATGAAATAAATATGCCACTTTTGTCAGTTCTCACGTTCACCACATGAGGTCGCCACTTTACATTTTACTCTATTCAGCAAGCTATTAAATCCCATTTGTGGTCATTAGTCACTTGTGTGGTCTTGTCAATTGTACATTTCAGTTCTGAGATGCTCATATGTGACCCTGGAGCACAAAAGCAGTCTTAAGTCGCTGGGGTATATTTGTAGTAATAGCCAACAATACATTGTATGGGTCAAAATATCGATTTTTATTTTATGCCAAAAAATATTTAGAAGAAGAAGAAGAAGAAGAATGAGTTTTTATTGCCAGGTATGTTTACACATACGAGGAATTAATTTTCATGACAGAAGCTCCACGGTGTAACAGAATGACAGTGACAGAACAAAAACACAGATAATAAAAAATAGAACAAGTAACTAAGGAATAAAAATATACAAATCGACAATTGTATGTACAGGTATATAACAATAGACAGTTGTATGTACAGGTATATTATGTGCAAATTGAAATGTAGACTGAGTGTGTGTGTTAGATAAATAAGTGTATGAGTGAATAAATAGTGTGTGTTCCACAGTTATTGTCAAGTGTTCATGAGATGGATGGCCTGAGGGAAGAAACTGTTCCGGTGTCTGGTCGTTCTGGTGCTCAGAGCTCTGGAGCGTCGACCAGATGGCAACAGTTCAAAGAGGGAGTGAGCTGGATGTGAGGGGTCCAGAGTGATTCTGCCAGCCCTTTTGCTCACTCTGGACGAATACAGTTCTTGGAGAGAAGGGAGGGTTGTACCAATGATTCGCTCAGCAGTCCGGACTACCCTCTGAAGTCTTCTGAGGTCAGATTTGGCATTCATCCGAGTAAACAAGACAGATGGAAGTTGGCGAGTGAAGGACATAAAAAAATGGACTGGAGCGCAGCCCAGGTCATCTAATACATGGACCTGGCCCTCCACCACCCTCCTGGACTGTGTTATTTCTAGAGTGTCTGGAAGCTGCTCCTTCGAGGGGGGGGCAGATTGGGGGGAGACTCGTACCTCCAAGTCTCCTATGTGTGTGTCACGAATCCTGCCCATGGACTTCCATCCGCTTGCCACCAGAGATCACACTTCCATTATATTGACTGTCATACTACACAGACTTCCACATGTCACCACAAACTACATTTCCCAGCATCTATTGCATTAATGACAGACACAGCTGTAACCAATCTAAAACACTTTATAAGCCATGGTTTTCCTCTTTCAAATCGCAGAGTATTGTTTAGCATTTATGCTGTTTAGCGTAGCTACTTTACGGAGCCTGTTCCCGGTCCTAGTTTGAGTTTCTAGTTCTAATCTAAGTCTAGTCACGTGATTGCCTGTTTCCCGATTACCTGCCTGTCTTGGATTTCTCTCTCATCTTGTCGTCTGGATTCTGTTCGCACCTCGCTTGGATTTATTATCTGTCTATGGATTACTCGCTTGCCTCAACCTTTGGATTATGTTCACCGTTGATCGACCTATGCCTGTTTATCGGATTACTCTTCTGTCTTGTCCTCTAAATACCTGTTTGCCATTGTCCGACCCTTGCCTGTTTTGACTATGTTTTGGAATAAAGCTTTGGATCCGCACGTTTCTCGTCTCAGTCGTCCCGTTACAGTGTGTGTGTACCCTATACTTACCTGTTTGTGAGGTGTATGTGCTCCATCTATCTGCTCCGTTCAAGCCATCCACGATTCTCTGCATCTTTAAGGAAAGGACTTTACATTATTCAACTCTCTAAGTCTCAAGAACTGTTATTTGTCCATAAAACTCATGTGCTCCCTACTTGTTTGCTCAGTGCCATCAATAAACACTCATTTCAATAAACACCCCTTTCGCTGTCTACATATCATAACAGTTTGGGGACAAGCATTGTTTTTACTGGCATATTTCTAACAGATTAATGATCAGTTTAAAAGAGCTGCAAAACTAAATCATTCTGAGAAAAATCCCAAATAACAGCATAATCATAAACAGTTTGTTCAATAACAGGGGGGTTATTAGAAGTGCTATTGCTAATAAAGAGCTCTTGATAATGAAAATTGTTGTTTTTAAAGACTCTAAAGGGGTCATATGATGCGATTTCAATTTTTCAGAGTTACAAACTCTTGGTGCATAAAGAAGATCTGTAAAGTTGCAAAGACTAAAGTCTCTAATCCAAAGAGATATTTTTTCATAAAAGTTAAGAGTCAGCCACACCTACCTAAAACGGCTAGTTCTAACACGATATCTGGGAAGATTTGCATAACGCCACCCAAATGTTCACGCAAAGAAAGAAGGCGTAACTTTTATTCTCGCTGTAGTATTGTTGCCGCCGCCGCCATGTCGTGAAGGCGCTGTGTGCTTCGTTGTGAAAGCGAAACTACTTTGTTTGGCCTTCCAAAAGAGGACGATATCGCTTCGTCATGCCTGGAGCTGATTCGTGCTGGTCGCTGAGGAAATACTTCAACTTTGCGCTGTCGATCGCCGGATCGGCTTTCACCATGGACGAAGCGGAGTCCAGCCCGGGGTCGTCACATATGATTGCCGCAGGCATCACAATATGGTAAGGGACGTAACATTTCTGTCACACGCTTGAGGAATTCGGCCAATCACAACGGACTGGATTGCTGGCCAATCAGAAAACACCTCTCATTTTCAGACCGATGAGCTTTGTAAAAATCGACGCGTTTTCATATGTGACCCTGGAGCACAAAAGCAGTCTTAAGTCGCTGGGGTATATTTGTAGTAATAGCCAACAATACATTGTATGGGTCAAAATATCGATTTTTATTTTATGCCAAAAAATATTTAGAAGAAGAAGAAGAAGAAGAATGAGTTTTTATTGCCAGGTATGTTTACACATACGAGGAATTTGTTTTCATGACAGAAGCTCCACAGTGC